CCCGGTGCTGGGCGACATCCTGTGCCTGTGCGGGGCGCTGCTGTACGCCATCTCCAACGTGGGCCAGGAGGGCAGCGTCAAACAGTTCGACCGCGTCGAATTCCTGGCCATGCTCGGCATGTTCGGCTCCGGCCTCAACATCGTCCAATCGTTGCGCACCCTTCCCTTCACCCCCCCCCCCATTGCACGCGTAATGCTGACACGTGCCGGCAGGGTCATCCTCGAACGAGACACGCTCGCCCACATCGAATGGAATCTGCCCATCGGTAACACGACACGCACACACGACACACGACACACGCACGCACGCACGCACGCACACACACACACACACACACGACACACGCGCCTGCATCTCGTTCGTGCTGGCCCCGTATTCTGAGGGCGTGTATGTAATGTAGTGGGGCTGCTGGTGTCGTTTAGCCTCTGCCTGTTCGCCATGTACTCGCTCACGCCCTACATGCTCCTGTGGACCGGCGCCACGCTCTTCAACCTCTCCCTGCTCACCTCCGACGCCTATGCCATCATCGCCGGCATCTTCTTTTTCAGCTACGTGGTGCGTCGTCGACCCTCCTCCTCGTCGTGTGTTTCGTGACACGCGCGCGTGTCGTGCTCCTTCTCACGTGGCGTTCGTCGATTGTATCTTGGTTGGCGGCGGGCAACCACACAGCCGACGTACCTCTACTTTGTGTCGTTGGGGGCGATCGTGGCCGGCCTGGTGCTGTACAATGTGCGCCTGGCCACCACCACCGATGCTGGCGCGTTGGTAATCGACGACGACGAGGCCGAGGGGGCCGCGCGACGAGAGCCCACAGAGATGGACGACGTCGTGCCCTCTCCTCCCTCACCCTCCGCCTACGCACAGCTCCCCCAGACCTCGCCACCAGCACCAGCAACGTAACGCAACACACAGCACACAACACGCAAATAAACAACGCGTGCCACCCAACTTGCCACAGGAGAGGAAGTGTGTAAACATGGTTACGATGAAACACACTACACGGCCGTGTAGTGTTTAATTTGAAGCTCCCAATTGGGTGGTGGCTACTGGTCCTTGGCGGTGGGGGTGGGGGTGGTGGTGGAGAGCTTGTCGAGGTAGTGGGAGAGGAGGTTGGCCATGATGGGCTGCCCGCGCTTGGAGCGTTGCCGCAGCTGCTGGGTCTTCTGCTTCCGCTTCTCGAGGGTCTCCTGCTTCTTCCGGATCCGGGCCTCCCGTTCCTCGCGTGCCTTCCGCTTCTGCTCCTGCGCCTCCTCCCACTTCTTCCGCTCGTTGAAGAACGGATCCGGCTTGCTCCCCTTCTCCTTCTTCTTCTTCTCCATCTGCTTCTTCTTCGTTCCCTTTTCATCCTGCTTCTTGTGCGTTTCTTCTTTGCTTTCCTTGTCCTCGCCTTCTTTGTTCTCGCCCTCTTCATCTTGATCGTGTCGTCGTCGTCGTCGTCGTCGTCGCCGCCGCCGCCGCCTTCGCCCAAGAAGAACGACTCCTCCGTTCGCGCCTTCTTGGCGGGACCCGCCTTCACCTCCTCGTCCTCGTCCTCGTCCTCCTCTTCTTCGTCATCGAGCGCGGTATCGGTCTTGCGCTTCTTCTGTTACACGAATACGCCGCCAATGAGCCATCATATGATGAATGCCTCGCGTGTGGTTGCGTGCGTGCGTGTGCGGTGGCGCGTGTGCGCACCTGTTCGCTATCGCCGTGCGCGTTGTCCTTCCGGCGGTACTGCTGGTGGAAGAACTCTTCGAGCTCCTCTTTGTCCCGGCCGTCCACATGTCCGCTGAAGATCTGTCCCACCCATCACACCCAGCCCGCCCCGTAATCGTGTGAGCGGCGTTGCACACACACGACACACGACACACGACACATACACACCACACGAGCGCGCGCCGACGAAACCGATGCCAACGATGGCGTGTACCTTGTCGTAGAAACTTTCTCCGCCGGTCTTCTGGCCAAGCAGCAGCACCAGCACCACCAGCAGCAGCAGCAGCAACAACAGCATAAGACGAAGCTTGTTAGTGCCGTTGCGCTTGTGGTCACTGAACACGGACTCGCACACGCACAACACGCACGCGTGTACATGCCACACGCACACGCCAGGCGCACACGAACACGCGAGAGCGGAGAGTGAAGGGGAGCGGCGTACGACGGCTGCGGTCTTGGGCGCGGTCTGGAAGAGAGCGGGTGCAGCGTTGGCGCCAGCGCCAGCCGCAGCAGCGGCGGCGGCGGCGGCGTCGTTGGCGGCCAGCTTGCGTTTGAGCCGCTTGTACTTGGTGATGGTCTTGGCCCTCTCGTAGAACTGCCGCTGCTCCTCTGCACACAGCCCCAGCAGGAGCCCCATTTTTGAATCAAAAAGATTTTTTTCATGACGCGCGATTAAATCGCAACAATTCCCGCCTGAAGCCCGGACAGTTTGCGATCTTGAGATTAAAATCACGCACCTTTGACTTTCTGTTGGTGAAAGACGTTCTTCTTGGTCGCCAGACCGCCGCCCGGAGCCATGCGCCGCAGGGCAGCCTCTCCGGAGCGGCCTTCGTCCCCGCGGCTGCTTCCCCTCCCGGCCCCACCACGGCCTCCTCCTCGGCCACGACCTCGGCCTCGTTGTCCTCCTCGCTCCATCTCTCTTCTCTCTCAACTCGGGATGTGTGGGATGTGTGGTTAAAAACGTTTTTGCCTGGAAACAACGGGCTTGTACAATGCGCTAAAACAGTAAAAGTAGAAAATAAAAAGGTGCATAGTAAATCCTGACAGCCCTGCGGCAACGAAGGTCATCACCTTTCCAGCTTCTTTCTGGGCGTAGTGAAGAAGTTCTCCGAATAGGTGCGTCCCGAGGATGTGCTCGCCGACGTTTCGATCGCCGGGTGCCGGGTGCCTCTGAATCGACTCCCATTGAGGCTATGATGACCTGTGAGCAAGTCACCAGCTACTCAAAGGTCTGCACATGATGAACATAGCTCCTCTTCAGGCAGACACCGTCCTCAAGGCCGACAACACCGTCCTCAAGGCCAACAACGCCGCCCTCAAGACCCGAGTGGACTCACTTGCCGCTGTTGAAGAAGTCAAGTCGTGACGAAAGAAGTACCTACAGCAGAGAGCTGGAAATACCTCGTGCAGTGCCAAGTCGCCGGCCAACGCACGCAGCTGCCGCGGCGATCGCCGGTTAGTACACGTCCCGCAGGTTGAGCTGCTTGATGGCCTCCTCCGCCTCCGCTTCGGCATTGGCATCCTCACCTGCGGCTGCCAATTGAATGATGAGACGGGAGGCCGGCACCAGCAGCTCCCAAGAAGGGAAAAGTTGTGCGAAGCGTCGCTGTACCAGTGCAGGTGCCCGACGGCGAGGTGGTGTACGGGAAGGCACCATCGCCACCGCCACCAGCCGCCGGCGCAGGGCTGATGTTGGCCGGGAACGGCACGGTGCCGCCCAGCACGCGTTCGATGCGACGCAGCGGCCCCTCCTCGCTCGCCAGCTCGGCGAACGTGGGTCTCCGGCTCGGGTCCTGCACGTAGGTTACAACCACGGCGATCAGCTCGCGTGTGTCGTTGGTCGTTGGTCGTTGGTCGTTGGTCGTGTCGAGAAGGGCGAACCTGGTGCCAGCAGAGGTGGATGAGCTCGAGCCAGGCGGGTGGGACGTTGCTGGGGAGGGCGGGTCGCCAGCCCGTGCCCACGTCGGCGATGTAGGCGCGGGGCACCTCGGCGCCCCGCCCCACGTTCTCTGCGTACTGCTTCTCGTAGGGCACCCGACGCGCCCACATCTCCCACAGCACCATCCCGAAGCTGCCACCACCACCCGCCACCAAAATAAATGAAGGGAACACATAATCAGCAAAAGATCTTATCAATAAGTTGGCCACGAACAGCTGTGGTGGTGGTGGTGGTGGTGGTGGTGGTGGTGGTGGTGGTGGTGGTGGTGGTGGTGGTGGTGGACGGCGGTAATGGGGCGTATAGAGGTACGCCACCTAAACACGTCGCTGGCGTAGCTGAAGTGGGCGGCGGTCTTGGCCTCCCAGATCTCTGGTGCCACGTACGCAAAGTGACCTGCGTCGAACGATGACATGATGTCCGGTGACATGACCCTCCGTCGGTATCATGATTGGACAAGGAGGGGAGGGAAGAAATGTATGTGTATGTGTATGTGTATATGTGTATATGTGTCTGTATATGTACATAGGTACGTACCGGTTTGGTCGAAGTGGCCGGGGGCCTGAAGCAGCCGGGCCAGCCCAAAGTCGGCCACCTTGGCCTTGCGGTGTTCGTCCAACTAGTAGACCGTAACACCACCGGCCATGTGTGTGAGCCCCATCATCATAGAGAAGAGTGGCATATGCGCAATTGCGTGCAATAGCTTTCATAGATAGCCCTGGCGGTGCTTCTCCTCCAATTGCCTAGGCGTACTTTGGCGCGTGTCGAGGAGGGAGGGAGGAGGCGGGGCGTACCAGGATGTTGTTCGGTGTCAGATCGCAGTGGGTGATCTTGCTGGCGTGGAGGAACTGCATGCCGGTTGCTATGCAACGCACATCCTCCAATCAATCAGCAACAGTATGCAACCGACGCGGCGTGGCACACGACACGACACGACACGACACGACACGACAGGACACACAGCAACGCGAGTGTTGGTGGTGTCTACCGATGTTGAGGGCGAGGTGGACGAGCAGCTTGGGGTCGGCGGCGATGGCCTCGCGGAAGGCGAGGTTGTGGTGGAGGAGGTCGTGCAGGGACCCGCCCGACATGAACTCGAACACTAGCCGCGGCGGCGACTCCAGGCACGCCCCCAGGAACTGGATCAGCGCCGGACAGTGCAGCTTTTGCAGCAGCTGTGCACCACGCCAGCGTTAGTCTTGGGGCGTCGTCTTAAGATGTCTGTGGCCAACCATGTGACGAAAGCCCGTGTCGTGTCGTGTTGCAGCGCGTACGGTGAGTTCGCGTTCAAAGGCGTGTTCGGTGAGGTCGGCATTGTCGGTGAGCACCACCCGCTTGATGGCCACCGCTGCAGAAAAAAAAAGCAACACAAGCGCTGGGCGTGAGTACAAAGCAAAATGGGAAGAGGTCAGATAGGGCGGAGGCCGCACGGAGTCCTTTGTATCGACCGCGGATGACCGACGCCTGAGCTCCCCGCCCGATGGGTTCTATCTCCTCGAGCTCGTGCGGCTTGATCAACCACGGCCGCAGCGGGTCTGTGTTGAACAGTAGCAGTAGCAACAACAGCAACGTTACGTGTGTGCGTCGTGAGTGTCGTTGGTCGTGTCGTTGGTCGTGCCGTGTCGTGTCGTGATAAGCGAGGGTTCTCTACCTATGGACGGAGGGAGCGAGGGGCTGGTAGTGGTGGGGCCAGACGTGAGCGATGAGCACCGGCCGCGGCGTGATGGGATCGCGAGGCGTGATCTGCACCACGTGCCTGTCCCCCTCGAGCGACGTGATCATCATCACCGGCCTGCCACGTCACGCCGGCATCATGTGTGCCCAGCGTGAGCCAGCCGTACACAAGTGAGTGCGCACGCGCGTGTGTGCTCCGCCCGCGTACCGCTTGAATACGTCGGCGATGGCGGCGAGGATGAGTACGTCGCCAGAGGTGGGCCGCTGGTCGATGGTGTCGCAGTACTGCCGGATGTCCGTACCCGCCATCAGCTCCTCGATCAGCACCTCCTCTTCGCCCTGCTCGTCGCGCCCGCACCCAGAGATAAGTGCTTGCCGCGCCTCCGCCAGGCATGCCCGTGTCTTGTGATGTCGTTGGTGTGGGTGTGGTGTGGTGTGGTGTGGTGTGGTGTGGTGTGGTGTGGTGTCCACATCTTGAAGGAACGCGCGAGCGTTCAGTTTCGAATGGTCACACACGTGTGTGTGTTGTGTGTTGTGTGTTGTGTGTTGTGTGTGTGTGCGTGCGTGTGTGCGCGTGTGTGGAACGTGTACCAGTTTCGTGGACGGGGCCTGGTCGAGCAGCCACTCCACGACCTTGGTGCGCAGGTAGGTGGCGTTGTGCACGGTGCCCCAGATCTACCCCCCCCCTCCCCCAAACGCATGCCAACACGCGGGATATGAGCCAAGTAGGCCGCTGGGAGCGAGGGGGGGAGGTCGGGGGAGCAGCGGGGCGGGGCAACCACCTGGATGGAGAGGGAGACGAAGAGCGATTCGTCCTCCTGGGAGGTGGGCTGCTGCACCTGCAGGCCGTAGAGCTTCAACCGCTCTGCGGGGAAGAAAAGAAAAGAAAAAAGAAAAGAAAAAGGAGAGTCCAGAGACAGAAGCACGTTGAGCTCACGACACCAAAAAAAAAGAGAAAGAATGCTAGCGCGGGTGGGTTGATTTGGATTGGTTGGCAGTAGGTCGCACCCTGTGTGTTCTTCTC